TTACACACACTACCAGCTGAAAATGTTTTTTTTAAAGGCGCTATTCAAACAAACATCAATTTGCGAAATGAATGAAATGCAGTTTTGTCCGCCGAAGAGTCATTTTGAGCCATTTTGATCAGTATTTTTTCATCTCACAAATCATTATGAGGTAGTTTTCCTCACCAGAACACGATGATTTTCAAGATAGTCGACAATCTCTTTCCTCAAATCACCATGAGAGATTTTGCGTCCCAGTTTAATTTCCAATTGCCTGGACAGGGCATGAAACATGCAGTTTCCTCCTCCACAGTTGCCTCGAACTATAAAACCCTTTACGTCAGCATTCTTCTCCAGATTTGAAAATATGTACTTCTCCCTGTCCTTTTCTAAGTGCATTTGCTCTAGATCACTGAGTTGCTTTGCTAAAACAAAATAAAATAAAATAAAAATAGACTATAATTCCTTTATTTTAGCTCTCTTTCCTTAGGAGAGATTAGATACCAAATTTTAGCTAACTGACCACAATATCCCTTCTATGATTTTGTCAATATGAGGTGTGGTTATTTTAGCCATACTGAAATGGAATTCACTACAATATCATTTTATGAAATAGGACTTACTACATCATCAATTTATCGACGAAGACCAACGCAACATCACACGTTTTTAGACCCGGAGGAAAGCTTTATACACAGCACTATACAAAGGGTTGCCAGATAAGGTGAAACAAATGCAAACACTTCACTAGTACCACAAATAAATGAGAAAATTGAAAAAAAAGTTCTCTGAGCTAAGTTCGTTTATAGAATTGTGCTTAGATATGCAGGGAACAATTCACCTTACTGACAAAGTAAAGGGTCTCGACAAGGTACATGAGCACCAGACAATTTCATAGACCTAGGGAGGTATATGTTTCATTAGCATAATCCACAATTGAAATTTAATGTACGGTTAAATGCTGCTGGAACACTTAAACTTTTAACATTTGTCACTATATGTGGATTCACTTTCAACCATATCTTACACTGGTCACTAAAATTATTTCATCCAAAACTTTCTACTGCTCAAAAAGTTCTTCCCTTTTTCATAATCACTTGTGTCCCTGCTTAAAATATGGACAGGCCAGGAAGAGAGGTGTTTGTTGAAAAGAAAAAAAGATCAACATAAATAAAATTTTTCCTAACTCTTTCTAGTTGATCATACTCTACTCAAACCAAGCATCTCTGATTTGAGTATGCTGTTCCAGACTTATTTCTGATAACCTTACCCCTCAATGTGGCAGATACCTACATCACTAGAACCTGGGTGTGCCCTCCTTCCCTGGAATAAGCCACTAGGCCTTCTGTTTCCACACAATTGAAAAACAAATAAATTGCGCTTTTATTGATATGCTAGCCTTTGAAGAAGTCAGAACCCTCACTGAAATAAAATAGTAGGAGTGGCAAGAGGAGTAGCAAGAGGGGAAAGTGATTTTTCTCTTCCCATTCTGTTTTTGCCACCATTCCCCTTTGCCACTAGTTTTACTCTCTCTGCCACACAGAAGTCCTAGCTACAGGACTCAAGGCATTAAATGTTATATATATCTCAAAAGTAAAAAGATTAACCTGTAGACTGTTGAACTGCAGCATTTTCATGCTCTTTTTTCTGAAAAACTAGCAAAGCAAAAACAAACAAGTACATCATTAGGGCCCTTTTCAACCATAATATTTGACCTAGCAAACAAAGGTAAGGAAAAGGCTTTTGTGTCTTTTTTGACCCAAAGATGGGAAATCTGGTTTCTTCTTTTTTCCATATAGGAAGTTTTTACCATTATATTAAGCTTTTCAATACTATGAGAGGTATGGAGTTACTGATGCATCATAGAAATTTTTTTTTTCACTGCTCTTGATCTTATTGCATACCTCTTGAAAATTAGGTGAAAGGGATGTAAAAGGTCATGTTACAAAATTTTGACGGAAGACTTTCATCCAATAGGGATCCAGTCAAACCATATTCTGACAACAACTTGATTGAACCAGTGACTGAGATCAAATTTTCATGGCCCAGTGGAAGTTGTATTAGCAGGTGCATTTGTCATTTGTGAAGGCCAACCTTGTTTTAGAAGTGTTAAGTTCATTAAAGGGGAAAACTTGTGATAAAACAACAGGCTATGAACCAAAATTTAGAGTCTTACTGGCTTTACCTCATTTGTAATTGACCACTCCCAGTGGCAACAGTGAATCTTGGGAGGGGCTAAACTGTATGTACACTCACCTATTTCAGCCTCTTTTGTAACAAGCTCCACCACATCATAGCGATCAATTTTCTTGATGCCTTCCAGCAAATCACCCACACTTAGATTTGGCTTCCATCGAGCAAGCCACGCAAACATCATCTTAGTAGGGCTCTTTGCTTCAGCTTTAGAACTGTCAAATGCTTTATAAGTCTCAGGGGGAATTTTCAATCTGTATGCCAAATTACGCCAGTTCTTGATTGCTCGGATATCTTTGTTAAGACGGTCTCCTATTTCTGTTAAGAGCGGTGACTCATCTACGACCACATCTCTAACAAACATACTCCCTGTAATGGTTACAAATTCAAACAAAAAATATAATAATTTAAGTTTGCACACCAGTATCCCTTTGAATTTTGATACAGTAAGAAAATGGGGAAAAGTCTGCCTTTCTAAATAGGATTGTATGGAACACTTGGATGACAACTTGCTGCTGAGCTAGCCTAAAGCTCAAATGTGACAAGCCTCCCACATGCTGCTAAGATCAGAAAGGTTGAAAGCTTTGTGTGAGAAAACAAAGTAGGAAAGATGGTCAATTTTGAACTTAAGGGTCCATTAAAGAAAGACATTGGCATTTATTTTTTTACAGTCTCAAGTATTCCACATTCTATTTGAAAAAAAAAAAAAAGAAAAAGAAAAAAAAAGAAACTTAAGCCATGATCACATGGTTCTAGGCTGCTTTTCAAATAGCAGAAATGTTTTCATAATTTTTCATAACAGAATCTAGGCACTCCTGAACATACTATGTACAGTGTGCACATTATTCTACTTTTCGACCAGACAAGTAACCTAACCTATGAAAGACAAACCTTCAATGCTTTTATTTTCAAACTCTTTTTTCAATAAATTCACCAGATCTTTTCTCCCCATGCCTTCAAAATGGTCGTGCAGCTTCAACATAGTCAAATCACGGAGCTTCTCTGTTGAGGCAATGTACCGAAACAGCGCTGCTGAAGGACCTGAACCACGTAATCCAAATTTCTCTGCCACTTGTTTTGTGATACCAAACTCTGATGCCAAAGATCTCCAGTTTCCAATGGTTCTTGAGTTTATATCAAGTTTTGGTGACAATAACTTAATGAACTTTGTTTCACCAGAGATGAGATGACCCACCTTCATATTATCTTTGAAAAGCCCTGACATGAAACAAAAATCAAGCAAATAAATGTTATAATTACACTTGTACAATTAAAGAAAAAAGAGGATCCACAACTGAAGGTGGTACCCGAGACTAATTTGGCGAATTTTCAACAATTTTGGAATTAAAATATCTCATGACAGATTTGTTGCACAGACTTGAAATTTTCACATATAATCTATGATTCTAAGCCAATTTGATATTGCACAAAATGGTTTTGCCCATGCACAAAGATAATGGTAATGAAGATTTTCAGTGCAGTCTGCCAAATAATATTTTATTTTGACAATTTTATCCTCAAAAAATGAAAACAAAAAATTACTGTTGAGATGCAATACCTTTTCATTTGGTCAATTTGTTGTGGACTGTGTTGGACTGCACTATAAATTTTCCTCATACATGTAGTATGTAGTTTTGGTTTGCCAAGTTTTAGATTAAAAAAATAAATATTCTGTGAAATAATGATGTTGCGGTGGCATGGTACAATATAGCTTCACTCATTAATTTGTGAAAAGTAGCAATATCTTTGGCAGAATTTGTCAAAGAATCCATGTTTACTTTGCCTTCTTCAATCGTTATCTTGTGTAAGCCAGTGATAAATGGCTGCAGCAGTAAATGCAAAAAAGCGCAATGTTGCCACATTTCTCTTGCAATGGATTTTTTCCCCTCAAACCAATTAGAATATGAGACTATAAACATTTGCACCATCTGTAGCAATGAAATTTATCCAGCGATGTTGAGACTATCTTGGCACCCATGCTATGCATTGGAGTGAGATGGAAAAGCAACACAAAAGGAGAGATCTCAGTGAATGTTCTAGGCTCTCTCTTAATTAAAGAAATTGCCATTATTCAGCTGGGAAGGGAAAAGAAGAAAAGTGCATCATCAGGTACCACAAAAATACAAGGTGGTGTGGGCAGTTAAAAGTAACAACTTCAATCTGTTAAATGTAGTAAAATAAATTAAATATAGTGCATGGTTATTTGCTTGCTTATTATAGCGGTGTGTCCTGAAAATTAGAAATATCATCACAAATTTTTAGAATAAGAGGCTTATGAAACACAGTTGTGTTTCCATTGCTTGGAAAACATTATTGGCTAGGTACTGTAGAACTCTTTCTCAATTTCCATTCATGGTAAGAAAGTAATTCATATTTCATTCCCGAATGGTAACTTACAAAATGGATGTGTCAGAATTGTCATCTACAGGAAATACTGCATGAGCTGCAAACCATAGGGCCAAGATTGTATCTCTATTTTGCCATGAGATTTGAGTAAAAATTTTGCAATTAGGCTATTTTCAACAATAATCTTTAATATTTTAGAAAATGAAAGCATTCCAAAAAGGTTGAGTTAACCTCTGGTACTGCCTTAAGCTTGATATGTTATTGAAACAAACAATACCTTAAAAAACAAACAAACAGAAAATAAATGAACAAATAAAACAAAACGGCAACAAACAAAGAGGAAAATTGAGATAAAAATTGAGAAAAACATTTGAAATTAAACATTAAATGTCAGCTTAATAGTGGTAACCAGAGAATTAAAACAAAAGAAATTATTTATAAGCTCATAGTCAATTAGGCAACAGAATCTAGCTAAGGAAATAAACAAATTGTGTTTCAATTGCAGTAACATTCTTCGGTAGTTTGAAACCATCTTTGAACCAGGTTACAATGTCGAAGTAACTGGAGAGTGGGAAATCACTGAATACACAATGTGGCATCCTGAACTGAAAAATTGTCCTTAAAGTGTAACAATTACATTTCCTGCTCTGAATCATTTCCTTTCTCTGACCGTTCCCCACCCTAAGCAATTTCCTTAATAGATAGAACCTGTGATAAGTATTTTATCATTTATTACTACAAATGCTGTACCTGTGTTCAAGCTTTCAATCAAATCATTGCGATGAATTTTCTGGAGTTTCTGCTTGAGTTCCTTGACTTCTAATTCAGGACGCCAGACTTGAGTGAGATAGACAAATAAATCCTCTGTGGGACTGTGCTCGGAGTACATTTCAAACTCCCTGGTTTCATCTGAAGGAACACCCAAAACATGGGCCAGATGCTTCCAACACCTTATTACTCTCATCTCATGATCCAAATATTTAGAGAGCTTCTCCAAAAGTTCAGAATCTTCTTTTATCACTTCCAACATTTTCAACTGCTCATGACCTGGGGAGAAAGATATTTATCTAAAATTTAGTTTCCTCTCATTCTTTTCCTTCTATGAAAACCTTTAAGGCTTTTGAATCAATTACAATTGTGGCAAGTGAGCCCAAAGTCCTTTTCCTTTCACAAATAGAATGGAAAATGTATTCATTGAAAAAGGTTCCAATCTTGGACAAAACTATTTTAAGGAAAAGCAAAGAATGTAACTAAGTAGCAGACCTTGGTAAACCATTTGATTAATTCTCTCATGCAAGGTTTTGCAGTTTTTTAAAGTAAATTTACTTAACTAATTTAAGCATATCTAAATTTCATTATTTTGAGAGGCCCAATAGACCATCAAGCCTTACTCTGAACCAATTAAGTTCAACAGGAGGGTAAAATCATTATCATGTGATTACAAAAACAAACAACCAGGTCAGTATAAAAATAATTAATTGAAGAATTGACTCTTGAAAGATCCCAGCCAAACCTACTCTACAGCACTACACACAAGGTCACCATATCAGGAGAAACAAATGTAAACACTTCACAAGTACTACATATAAATGGGATGATTAAAAAAAAAAACTTTCAACAGAGGTTGTCTAGAGATGCATGGAACAATTCAACTTAGTGACAGAGTAAAGGGCCTCAACCTGGTACACGAGTTTAGACATAGATTGTAAGACAATCATATACTCTTAAGGAGGCAGATATTATATTAGCATTATCCACACAACTCAAAAATGAACAAGTTGTGCTTTTGATGATATGCAAGCCTCTGTAGCAGCTAGAACCATTGTTACACCAAAATTTAGGCAACCAAGCCACAAAACAAGGTTGGAGTAGCAAGGCAGGTGTAGTAGAAAGGGAAAGTGATCTTTCTCTTCTCATTCTGTTTTTTCCTGTCTGCCACTAGTTTTACTGTCTCTGCCAGCAAGAGGTCCCACCTACTCAACTCAAGGCATTAAATGTTATATTCATCTCAAATGTAGAAAGATTAACCTGTAGACTGTTGAGCTGCAACATTTCCTTCCTCTTTTTTCTCAAAAACTAGCAAAGCAAAAGCAAACAAGTACATTAAAACCAATCAGCGAAAATAAGAAAAATATCCTTAGGAACTGATAGGGACTCAAAATAAACATTGCTAAGTGTGGTTGAGAGCTACAATTGGTTTTAGTTTTACACTTGATTGGTAAAGGAATGTGGTATAAAAATTCTGAAACACTCATCAAGATTGGTGGAGATAAACAATTATTACTTTTGAACTGAAATTCATAATTGCTCCATTTTTAGCAGCTCCAGGGAGCTGCCATTCAGTTAAAATGAAAGTTCTTTGTTTAAAGAAAACTCTGCTTGACTTAATGACTAGAGAATGGGTGTGGGTCTTGGAAAATCATCTTCACTGAATTTCTTTTTCTTTTTCTCTTACCCTTCTTTTCCTTTCCATCTTCCCCCAATCCTTTCGGGTTTGCACCAGGAACTATCTGCACAGTTTCAGGAGTTCTAGATTCTATCTTTGACTGAGGTGTTGGAGGTACAGATGAAGTACGAGAATAATCATTCTGTTCCTCAGGAGTTTTCCGCTGAGCTGGAGTTTTCCTGATGCTTTCAGCTGCTTCATTCTCACAATTTGTATTTGTACTAGGGTTAGTATCAGGTTTGTTTTGACAAGAAGTAAAGGACCCAGTACCTTGACCTAGAGAGTTTGGTGTATAAGACTCTCTCAATTCAAGGTCATGAATACTACGATCTGCACCATCAGCAACATCACATGTCCCATTAGCTTGGTTTAAACCACTTTGTTGTTCATGGCTATCATCAGATGTACTTCTTATATTCCTCCGCTGAGCTGGATTTTTCCTGATGCTTTCAGCTCCTTCATTACCACAATTTGTATTTGTACTAGGGTTAGTATCAGGTTTGTCTTGACAAGTAGGAAAGGACCCAGTACCTTGACCTAGAGAGTTTGGTGTATAAGACTCTCTCAATTCAAGGTCATGAATACTATGATCTGCACCATCAGCAACATCACATGTCCCATTAGCTTGGTTTAAACCACTTTGTTGTTCATGGCCATCATCAAATGTACTTCCTGGATCCCTTCCATCATCACTTGATACAGTATCTTGAGTTGAAGCATGATTTTTATGCAGATTTCTTTGCTGAGCTTCTACAGCAGCATTCAACATACTTTGGCATTGATCACTAGAAGGCTTACCGTTGCTAGTGCCATGCACTGTTTGGTCACTCCTTTCTTCTTCTACATATCCTCCCTTTCTGACTTCTAACTTTGGTTTAATCACATCTGTTAAGTTTTTCACTTCTTCCTCCCTCTTCAATTTTGATTTCTGAAAATCCCTTAATCCTCCATCATCTATCTCTTCAGCACCATCATTTTCATCTCTGGAGTTAAAGGTGCTTGCACCTTCCTTTTCAATTATTTGCTTCTTTTTTGTCCTTCCTCTGTTGTGGGAATTTCCCATTGGATCATGCACACTCATGGGTGATGAGGCCATCTATTCAGGTTCTCTACTTATTCAGCAAGTTTCCAA